AGGAAGCTGCAGAGAGTGTCCAGGCATTGGGGTGGGGGCTGGGCTCTGATCCTGTGCAACCTTGCAGGGCTTTGATCCTGCGGATTGGTCAGAATCCCAGCCTGTAAGGCCGCTGTGCTCAGCTATTGCCAGGGGCAACTACAAGAAGCTCAGAAGACTTCCAAGATGTAGATTCAGTCAATTATCTGAATCAGCAAGGGAGGTAAAGTCTTCCCGAAAGAAAGACCACACAGAGGTCGTCAGGGAACAGAAAGCCTAGGATTGAGGTGTACAGAATATGCAGGGAAACCTGAGCACAAATCCTCCAGCGCATCTTTAATCTCAAAAGACAAACTCGAAGGCCATCCTTTAATTAGCTCTAATAGCTTGTAATGAGGAGAGACACCAGCAAGAGGAAAGGCTCCCAGAAGAAATTTCTACACGAAAATGCCCAGAAGTCCCTGAGCCTGAAAAGCTTGGGTTTTGAGAGAGTCAGAAAGATCTTAGAAAGATCTAGAAATAAGACCCAGGATTCAATTAGCATTCTATTGATCGTAGTTAAATCTGAGAGAGAAATCTACGAAATGCTGTCTTTAACTCACCGCCAGCCTAGTGAGGAAATATAAATGAGGCACTGTTCCCCACCTTAAGTTGCCTCCTTTTCTTTCTCTCAGCCCGTAGGCCTTGGTGTCCCCCCTCCAAGGTTCTGCTCTTGACCCTTTACCCTTTTATCACTATAGCAGAGGTTGTTAAAGGCAAAATGTATGGGTTATCTTCCCAGAAACACACACACAGCATATACATACTTTTACGGCAATTTCGGGGAGGGGGGGTCAATGTCCCCTGAAAATCTATACGTGAACCCTCAGGGATCCTACCTTGTCCCATCGTGTTAGCCTCCCACCTATAGCCGCCTGGCTACTAAATCTCTACCTGGGATCAACCCAGGATGTCTCTTGTCCTACACCTTGTCAAGTTGGCTTCTTAAATTCACCCATTCCTCTCCATCCCCACCAGCACTGCCCTGGTTTAGACCTCATTTTTCACCAGGACTGTTGTAAGTGTTGGGGGTGGCGAGAAAGGAATCAGGAGTTAGACCAGTGGGGTCAGATTGGACCTGGGTTCAGCAACCTCAGTACTTGAGTCTAACTAAGTACTGGAAAGAATTCAGAGCCAAGGCTCAAACTATAAGAGAACATTTCTTTGGAAAATCACTGAGGTGGGAGAACTAATTAGTAGGAGAAATGGGCTGAGGAAACAAGTTAGAGAGGCAAAGGAAGCTTTGGAGTGAGGAAGCTAATGGTAAAAATGCACCTGGGCGGGGAAGGGAAAGGGAAAGGTGAGGATGTGGGCTCCCTAGAGGGAGAGCGCTCCAGGTCCTAAGGGTGTTAAGGGTGGAGATTTTAGGGGAGGTCCCAGGAGAAGATCTCAACAGAATATTCAGCAGTTTCCCAGATGTGTCCTTTCAGCGCCTAGGTCTCCATTGATTGATTATTCAGCGTCAGGGCAGGGGCTCATGATCCAATGCACTGGTCCTGAGGTCAGCCTTGGCTTTGCTTGGCTGGTTTTGCTGCTTTTCTGGGCCTGTGAAATATAACTGAGGCCTAGATGTTATCTCTAAGGAGGAAAGGTCAGGAGGTCCAAACCACATGACCAGTGATATGCCAGGGGAGGAAAGGTCACCCTGGGGGTGAGGTCCCACCCTACAATTGTTCTTTGCTAGGCACCCAGGGTTTTCTGCCCCAGTGACCTTCTGGACCTGGCCCATTGTCCTTGCTCTGCTCACATCTGTCTAACTGACTGCCACATAACCACTTCCAAATTAATTACCCAGCCACCAACCAGTCTTGTCTTCTCCACTCATTCCAAACTGATCTCCTTTAAAAATTAATATTATCTGCTTAAGAACTTCCAGTGGATCCCATTACTACCGGATACAGGCCAAATTCCCTCACCTGTTCCTATGTGGCCCAGCTGCGCCTACCCACTTACCCTCCAGTGGGGTCCGCCCAGCCACTCAGCCGCTAGGGCGGCAACCACTCTCCTCTGTGCCTCCTTTACAGCATGTCTTCTCTATGACAGACATTTGCTTAGATATTTGTCTCCTCCGCTACTCTGTGAGTTTCCTGAGAGAGGAAATCTTTACTTATTCAAGTTTGTATTTCAATATTTAGTACAGTAGTTAATAAATGCTTATCGAATTAATTAAACTAAAGTGAGAAAAATTTAGCCTCTGCTTGCAGGAATTTATTAAAAGGGGGAAACAGGTCACGACCACCAGTAACTATAACGCAAGGCAGGATGGGCAAGTGCTGTAAGAGATATTTTAAAGTAAGGGCCATGGAGAACTGGAAAAATGACTTCTCAGTGAGTGGGTTAGGAATTCCCTTGCTTTCCAATGGGACGTTTGAGGGTGACAATGTTATAGGTGTATTTTCCTCTTGGTTTTCCCATTTTCATATGTCCTGTTGCTCTCCTGTCATTGTAGAATTCCTCAGAACAATGTTAGGGAGCGTGTCTGAGAAGGCCGGTGGTGTCTCAGGGATGACCATGGCCAGGCTGTCATCTGAAAGGGGAAGGAAGCTGCAGGTGTTTCAGGCCCTGGGCCTTATAAATCTGGGAACTGCTATAGTAACAGTTACAGCCTTTATTTATTTATTTATATTTTTTTAACCTTTTTTTTTTTTTTAAATATATCTTTATTGATTTCAGAGAGAGGAAAGGAGAGGGAGAAAGAGAGATAGAAACATCAATGATGAGAGAGTCATTGATCAAGCCCGCAACCTGGGCATGTGCCCTGACCCGGAATCGAACCCCGATCGTCTGGATCCCAGGGGCGTGGCTCAGTGGTTGAGCGTCGACCTGGGATCCAGTTACACCCTTTAGATGTTGCTGGCCCAAGGAGGTGAGGCAGCAAGGCCTTTGTCCTGCAGTCTGTGACACTGGAAACGGTGGCCTCCAGCCCATCACAGAGGTGGTGGACGCTTTGACTTCTTTCAGCTGCGAACACTCTCTTATCATGGGCTCTAGACTGCATGGGGCTTGGGTAGAACAAGAAAATCAGGAACACAGCAGTTACTAAGAAACCTTTCCAGGGGGTGTTACAAAAATGAGAATTATAAACCCTCTGAGGCTCAGAGCCTGTGAAAAGCCAGGCAAGCTTGCCTCTGAGCTGGTGAGCCCCTGACCAGGGGGTACAGGGGCTTGGGTCCAGCGCAGCCAAGGCTCCCAGCGGGGTGTCATTGTGAACGAGCAGAAAGCTGCCAGCACCTTGGCCTCCTAGGGGACACTGTGCTTTTCAAATGGCACCGAAGAGAACCGAAGGAGGGCTGGAGGTGGGCGGGGGCTGCCGGCTATTTTGGAATTTCACTCTGAGCTGATTCAGACCCTGTGCAGGGAAGCAGAGCTGAGCTTCAAGGCCAGTGCGCCCGGGGCGCTCCCAGGAGCAAGCGCGGGCTGAGCAGGGGCCTGCAGCCGGCAGTAGGGTGACGCTTTCAAGGGAAAAACTGGCATTTAGCAGGGCGCTCCCCACCCTGTTGTTGTTTTTAGTACAAAGCGAGCACTTTGAATGATTTGTGGGTTCTTTCCGTTTCTCTCCCACCAGGCCCAGATGTTTAGACATCTGGATGGGCTAAAGAACTAGAGCAGGATTTGTTGGGATCGCTCAATACCGGGCAACACAGGCAGTGTCACTTCACAGCCGAAATTCACCCACTCCACCAGCGCTTTTGCCAGGGAGGAAGCGCACTGTAGGTTAATGCTGACAGTCCCCGGAGTGTGCCTGGGGGACTGCGGGTCTCCCACAGGCAGGGACACGGTGGCACTGCACGTGCCCAAGGAAGGGGACACCTGCGTTTCCACCCCCCTCTCCTGGGCTCAGTGAATGGGAGCCAGTCCCCAATCTTCCAGCCTAAGAAGAAAGAGAGGGAAGGCCCCAAGGATGTGTCGGGATCTTGAAATGATTCCTGATCTTTAACCAATGGCCTGTGTAGTAGCTTTTACACTCCTCTTTATTAACAAGGATTTGCTAGAGAAATCCTCTCTTCTGCTTTTTCCGTCACTGCGACAGCCACTGCTGCTGTGAGACTCACTTCAAACCCAGCGGTGACAGAATGTCCAGCTTGTCCCCCAGCCACCCTGGGGACACTCTCCTTAAGACTCTCGACTAGCCCGCCCTCCTGGTCATCTCCACGCTTCCCTGAGATCAGAGTTCCAGCTTCTACAGTCACATATTTTTATCTCCTGATAATATGTAATGGTCTAGGGTGTTAAGAAAGAGTGTACTAAATGATTGGTGTGTGAATTTAATTGCCAGAGTTTTAGAACTGAAAACAAATCATCATCATAATATAAATTACGATGTGTGGCAGGCACCGTCCTATGCCTCGGAATGCTTCACCCCACTTAGCTCTCACAGCAACCCTGAGAGGCACGTGCTCCTGTTTTCCTCTGACTCTGAAATGAGGAGACAGACTTAGAGAAATTAAACAACATGCCCTTTGTCATAGATAGTAAGTGGCAGAGCCTGGAGTTAAGTCCATGTGGTTTTGACTCCAGAAATTAGATCCGGGACCACCTACCAGCAAGCTCTTCACAGCCCATGCTCCTGGAATATAATACCCCCCTGCTACACAATGCACCCCTTATGTTATGGACCCGGAACCCGAGGCCAGGGAAGTAAGTTGCCAGGGTCTCCTGGTTGGTGGCAGAGCTGATGGCTCTGGCCCCAGTCTCCTGGCCACAGTTAGAGGGCACCCTCCTGACACCAAACCACCTCCTGCGGGTCCCCAGCAGCCTGAGCCAAATTCCAGGTTTGCCTCCAAGAGAAGCCACACATGGCAGCTCTGGGTCACACAGTGGCCTGGGGCTTGTGGTTCAGTTGCCTGGTGGGAAACACACACACAACCAGCAGCCAAATTTGTTCCTTCCAGGCTGGGGAGGGGCTGGAGTTGAGGGTAGCTTGTTTTTTGCTATTGCTCCCACCAGGCCAGGGAGATCAGGGGCAGGCTGAGGAGACCTGGTCCAGGCCCTGCCCACACCTCCGTGGGCACTGCTGATGTGACCAGCCCCACTCTCTGCCATGAATCCACCACAGCAGCCCTGATCCACCTTGAGCCAGTCAGCACAAGGCCAATCCAAGAAAGCGCAAGGACGTGCCCGGAGCAGTGTTAGAAATGCTATGGGCTCCAGGGGTGGTTTCTTTATCCCAT